TATCTCCTATTCTTAACCTACTCCAGTCTGCCTTCCAGGCCCTTTCATTCCACAAAAACACCTACTAAAGTCACCAATGAATTGATAAAGCTAATGAATGATCCTTAATTTTTCAACTATTTTGCCTTCCTAACAACATTCAACACTAATGGCCATTTCCTCTGCTACAGGCTGAACCGTGTACCCCCCAGATTCATATGTTGAAGCCCTAACCCCCTATATTAAGAAATACAGGGCCTTTAGGAGGTAACTAAGGTAAAATGAGGTCACAATCTGAGTCCTAATTTGATGGGTTTGTTGTCTCCATAAAAGGAGAAGAAGACACCAGAGAATGGGAAGGTAGCTATGTGCAAACCAGCAAGAGACCCCTCACCAGAAACTGAACCCTCCAGACCTTGATCTTGGACTTTCTAGCCTCCAGAACTGTGAGAAAACAAATCTCTGTTTTAAGCCATGCAGTCTATGGTATTTTGTTATGACAGCTTGAGAAGAGTAAACCTCTTTCTCGAAACTCATTTTTCTTGGATTTTGATACAAAACACAATACTGGCTTCCTTTTTTCCTCTTCCTTTTACTCCAAGTCATCCTATTCTTGGATGGCTTAGAATTTCTTAAGGCCAAGTCCCAGGCTTCCTTTTCTTCTTCTATAATCTCTATTTAGGGGTTCTCATCCATACTCAGTTTCAGTTATCAAAGATCTTGCAGACATCTCAACTCATCCCACAGTTCACTCATTACTTCTTCAGAAAGGATTTCCCTGTGTACTCAACCTAAAGTAACTACTCCTAGAAAACTCTTTATACCATCTAATTTCATTGACACAGAACTTAAACTGCTTGTTTTTCCTCCCTCTGGTTAAAATACAAGTTTGATGAGAGTACAACATATTGGTCTTGTTCAACATATTATTTCCAGCACCTTGCATATAGAAACTGGATAAATATCTGTCAAAAGAATAAATCTAGACTTCTGCTTCTGGCCATGATGAAGTAACAGGAACAAAAATATATGAAATATTTTTAAGACCATGGATGAAAGAAAGTACAGGATGACAGTGACCCCTGAAAGAAGGGAACAAAGGAGGTAAGTCATAACACTTGCTCTGGCTTACTGCCTGAATAGTTTCCAGGCTGCAGTATAGGAAGAGGAATCCAAAGGAAGCTTGGAAGCCTTCCTGAGATGAGAGGACAAAGTTTGGAGGTGAGGGAGACCAAGGCAACTAGAGTCTGTGGGGCAGATAACAGGAGACAGAGCTGCACTGACAGTGCCCAAGAGCAACATTGGTTTCCCTGGAATCTGTAGATAAATACTGATCAGTGCATGAATGTTTCCCAAGGCTGTGAAAAAGACCACTGAAAAGGACCAGCTGGAAAATCCCCAGAGCCCATATAGGACTGGATAAAATTTGTGTTCCCACCAGCAAGAATGGATAAATCTCCTAATACATACGGCATTGAATAGGTATTGGTAGTGCCTCACTAGTGGGGGTAAAATTAGCCCTAGAGCAGGATTTCTCAACCTCAGCACTACTGACGTTTGGGGCTGAGTGATTCTTTTTTGTGGGGAGCTGTCTTAATATGCACTGTAGAATGTTTAGCAGAATCACCGGCCTCTACCCACTAGGTGTGACAATCCAAAATGTCTCCCTATGTCACCAATTATCCCCTGTAGGACATCCCCCGGTGAGAACCACTGTCCTAGACTATAGGCTGCCTATCAATGCCCAAAAGCAAGATTTGAAACGATAAAGATTTTTCTTAATAAGTTCGTGGTGTCTCAGAACAGAGCCCCAAAACATTGAAGGCACTGTAAAAACAAACAACCCCAGCACACAATGTAAAACCGACGATGTCTAGCATCTAATCCAAAATTACCAGGCATGTACAAAACAGGAAAATATCCAAAATGAGGAGAAAAATCAATCAGTAGGAACTGATAAATAATACAGATTATAAAATTAGCACACAAGGATGTTCATGCAGATATTTAAAATATACTCCTTTATAGTCAAGAAGCTGAGGAAAGCATGAGCATGAGGGGAAATATAGTAGATACAAAGAAGACTAAATTTAAACTTCTGGAGATGAAAATATAATTTCTGAAATGAAAATATCCTGGGTGTTATTAACAGCAGATTAGACAACCCAAAGAAAAGGTTATCAAACTTAAAAACATAGAAATAGCATAATCCAAAATGAAACATAAAAAAAATGAACAAAGGGGTACCTGGGTGGCTCAGTCGATTGAATGTCTGTCTCTTGGTTTTGGCTCAGGTCATGATCTCATGGTTTGTGAGCTTGAGCCCTGCATTAGGCTCTGTGCTGACAGTGCAGGTTGGGATTCTCTTTATCTCTCTCCCTCTCTCTGCCCTTCCTGCATGCTCTCGCTCTCAAAATAAATAAATAAACTTAAAAAAATTAACAAAAATGAGTAGGTATCAGTGATCTATGTAACAAAATACATGTGATTGGAATTCCAAAAGGAGAGTAGAGACAAGAGGGATAGGAACATACTTGAAGTATGGCTGAAATATTTCCAAATATGATAAAAACTAAACTCCCATATCCAAGTAGTTAAAAAAAAAACTCCAGGTAGAAAAAACATAAAGGCAACAAAGCCAAACCCATTTATAATCAACCTGCTGATAACCAGTGATAAAATCTTACAAAGAACTAGAGGAAAAAACAATAGAGTAGCAAATATAAGAATGACAGCAGACTTCTCTTCAGAAACAATGCAAACTAAATGACAGTGGAGCAACATCTTCAAAGTACTAAAAAGTATACGGTCACATTTGAATTTCATATTCAGCAAAAATATCTTTCAAAACAAAAGTGAAATGAAGACTTTTTCAGACATAAAAAGGCAGGGCTGAGTGAATTATTAAACAGCAAACCCACACAACAAGAATTGCTAAAGGAAGTTTTCAGGCAGAAGTAAAATGACATCACATAGAAACCTGGATTTGTACAAAAGAATGAAAAGCACCAGAAATGGAAAATTCATGGAGAAAATACTTTTCCTATTTTGAAAACCTCTTTGAATAACTGTATGGAGGAAAAATAATAACAATATATTGGAAGGATTATAACATTTATGGAAGCACAACATATGACAATAATAATAGCACAAAGGCTTGGAGGGAGGAAAGGCACATGTACTGTAAAGTTCTTAAGATTATACATGAAGTAATATAACATTATCTGAAGGTAGTTTATAGTAAGTTAATGATATATAGGGTAAACTTGACAGCAAGTACTACTTAAAAACTAAGAGATTAAATAGAATAATAAAGTATATTCAACTTGTCTAAAAGAAGGCAAGAAAAGAGAAAAAGGAACTAAATAATAGATTGGACAAACAGAAAATAGAAAGTTGGGCTATTATCAAAAAGACAAGAAATAGCAAGTATTGGTGAAGATGTGGAGAAAAGGCAAACCTGTGTACTATTAGTGGGAATGTAAATTCACATACCCAATATAGAAAACAGTATGGATGTTCCTCAAAAAATTAAGAATAGTACTACCATATGATCCACAATTCCATTTCTGGATATTTATCCAAAAAATGAAAATAACTTGAAAAGATATATGTACTCCTCATCATGTTCATTGCAATATTATTTATAATAACCAAGATATGGAAACAACTTAAGTGTCTATCAATGGATGAATGGATAAAGAGAATCCTCTCTCTCTCTCTCTCTCTCTCTCTCTCTCTCTCTCTCATACACACACACACACACACACACACACACACACACACACACACTGGAATATTATCCAAAAAGTAAGGAAATCTTGCCATTTGCAACAACATGGATGGACATTGAGGGCATTATCGTATGTGAATTAAGTCAGAGAAAGACAAATATCAGATGATTTCACTTATATGTAGAATCTAAAATAACAAAAACCAAAATCAACCAAGCTCGCAGATACAGAAAGCAGACTGGTGGATGCCAGAGGTGAGAGCAAAATGGGTTAAGTGAGTCAAACTTCTAGTTATAATACAAATAAGTCATGGGGATGTAATGTATAAATGGTGGCTGAGTATATAATAATACTGTATTGCATATTTGAAAGTTGCTAACAGATTGTAAAAGTTTTCATCACAAGAAAAAAATTGTAACTATGGTGACAAATATTAGCTAGACTTATTTGGTGATCACTTCACAATATATACAAATATATATCATTATGTTGTACACCTGAAACTAATATGTTGTATGTCAATTATACCTCAATTAAAAAAACAAAGTTGGCTGACTCAAACAACCACATCAAAAGTCACATGAAATGGAAAATGGTATATTAAAAGGCAGAGATTGTCAGACTGAATGACAAAGCAAGCCTCAAGTGTATGCTGCCTCAAAGAAACTTACTTTTAATATAGACACATATAGGTTAGAAATAAAAGTGTGGGAAAAGATATACCATGTTAAAACTAGGGAAAAGTAGGATGGAATAACTATCAGAAAAAAAAATTTCAGACCAAGGAATACTTCTAGAGATGAAGAGGTTAGTTTCATATGAAAAAGGAGTAAATACATCAAAAGTACATAAAAATTCCAAATGTATATGCACCTAATAACAGAGCTTCAAAATACATGATGCAAAACCTGATAGAACTAAAAGGATAAATAGGAAAATCTAGAATCATAGCTGCAGATTTCAAAATGTTTCTCTCAAGAATAAATATAAGTAGACTGAAACTCAGGAAGGATGTAAAAGAGTTGAACAGCACTATCAACTTGCTTAAAGGAACACTCCACCCAGCAGCAGCAGAATGAACATTATTTTCAAGAACACAGAGAACAGTTATTAAAGTAGATCTGGATAGACTCTGGACCATAAAACAAATCTCAATAAATTCAAAAGAATTAAAATCATACAAAGTATATTTTATAAGGATAGCAGAATCAAATTAGAAATCAGTAAGAGAAAGGAATCTGGAAAATCCCTAAATATTTGAAAACTGAACAATACATCTCTAAGTAATCCATGGGTTAAATAAAAAACTACAAGGGAAATTAGAAAATATTTCTAATTTAATGGAAATGAAAATACAGCAGAGCAAACTTTGTGGAATATAGCTAAAGTGGTATTTAGAGGGTAATTTATAACACAATGATCATATTAGTAAGGAATTAATCTTCTTTCCACCACAACACTCTACACTCTATACCAATGGTTCTCAAAGTGTGGTCCTTGGGTCAGCAAAATAAGCATCACTTGGGCCCCACTACATAACCTACTGAAACAGAAAGTGCTTGGAGCCTAACAATTTCTTTTTCAATAAGCCCTCCTGGTGATTCTCATGCACACTAAAGTTTGTAAAGCATTGTTTTCAAGTAGCACAGTTCTCATTAGGACCACCATGATGGTCTACGCCTTCATTCATGCCCTCTACCATTCATGTTTCACAAGGCAGTCAGATCCTTTAGGAAGGAGAATCTGATGATGTCATATACCTTCCCCATCCACTCCCAATTTCAATCTCTACTTTAAGAGCAATGGGAAGCTATTGGAAACACACAAACATGACTTATGAGAACCTACATGGTCTATCCTTCACCTACTCCTCAATCTTTACATCTGACACCACGCTCCTCCTTTCTCTTTTGACCCAAGACACACAGTCATTGCCTTACCTGCAAAGAACACCATGCTGTACTTTTTCCACATGCAACTCTTCCTGAAAGTCAGTCCTCTCCCCTCCCTGCCCAGTTGTCTGCTACTTGGCCTAGTTAATTCCTACTCACTCTTCACAGCTCAGTTCAATGGTCAATTTCCTTAGAGAAGTCTTCTCCTTATAGGGAGAAGGAATTCTTACAGTACCCAAAAAGAATTCTTTAGTACCACCTACAGTTATGAACTTGTAAGATTTGTGTAACTATTTACTCAATGTCTGCCTCTCCTAATAAACTTGAACCATAAGGACAGAACAATACCTGGTTTTGTCTCCCATTTTATCCTACATATAGCCTAGCATATTGCCTGGCACATAGGAGATATTTTTTGAAGAATAAATTAATGGGGTCTATCCAGTTTTCTCTGTTTCTATATATAGAAACAAAGTAGCAAGTAAATGAATTTTCCAGATTGCCTGGAATTGGAATGGGGGTGGGGTAGGAAAAATAAGCCAAGGTCTTATTTAAATTAAACAAAAACAATCAAGAAAAAAACTGGCAGGATGAAACATTCAGATACCTACTCTGACTCCCCTCCCATAATTAAACAATAGGTGAATTCAATAGAGTTAGCATTATAATCACAGAATGCTCAGCTCCTCTACAAAGAAGTGTTTACTGCCTAGGAAAAATGAGGTGGGGCGGGGGAATGGAAGCTAGGAGAGCTGAACTAAGAATGCCAAATTCCTAAGTGAAGAAATAAAGAAGAAAACCAGGGTAGAGAAGGGGGAAAGAGAACACTTGAGGAAGGAATTTAAGGTATAAAGCACTGAAATCACTTTAACAGGTGGCAGCCACTGGTAAAGGAAGAGAGGGAAGGTGACCCTTGCACTTACCTCAGATAGACAAAGCAGGTCTGGAGGCTGCGGGGAGAGAATAAAGATTTACAAAAACAGAATAAAACTGCCACTATGGCTCCCCCAGCACCACTCTGCTGGATAAAGATAGGTCTTGTCCCATAGAGATAAAGCAAAACAAAACAACTACAAGTCAGAAGTGTATTGTGCAGGAGGAGGGAGAGGATGGGGTGTTGGAAATAAACTGGATATAATAACTTTAATCTACTTTTAAAAATCCAATGACTTTTTCTAGCCACATACTAAATTCTACTGATATAAACGGGTCAGCAAACTTTTCCACCAAGGGCCACGTAATCAGCAGTTGAAGTTTTATGGGCTTTACACAATTACGCGGTTAAGCTTGTGTGGCACAAACACCAGTAGACAATATATAAGTGAATGAACATGGCAGTGTTACAATAAAACTTACTTACAAATGGGCCATGGGCCAGACTCCCTGATTTAGATAATCTTATGTTTGAAAATACTTCTATACTCCATACCAACTAGTAATAGAGATCAACCAAATTATCTTTCTTCAAATTATACTATGTTGCCAAAGTAAAAATAATTTGACTTTTTTTAAAAAATAAGTTCCCTGAGTTCCTTTGTAGCTCTGATATCTAACACAATGCCTAACAGATCAAAAGAAAAAGTATCTAATTTGTTGAATAAACTGAATGGTTTTTCCATGAAAGATGCAGGATAATTAGTGAAGAATACTGTGAAAAACTAAGTAATGGTTGACAAAGCAACAGGATATAAAATATCCAAGAAAAATTCTAAGGAAAAACATCAAGACAGGGGATTATCTAAGTCACTGTTCTATATTTTTTAATAAAGTATTACAGCAAGAGTTAGAAACTCTTCAAAACCTAAAACTCTTCTCCTTACTCAGGAAACTATATAGAGCAGTGTTTTCCAATGATGTTTCCCAAACTGCAGGATATAAAAAGTTGTGATATATAAAGTGTGAAGATTGCAGTTTAACATTCAATGGGGCGCTGTGATTCAATAGGCACGGGAAAGAGAACTCAGCATTTCCCAAAGCTATTGGACCACAGAACCAGGACCACAGATGCAGGACTACTGCATCTTGGACTCTGTATCTGGAATGCTTGTGTAGCAAACTAGATTAAGGTGACAGTGAGTCATCTAGAAATGTTTATCAAAATGAAATTTAGAAAATCATCTACCTGTGCTTCACAGTTCTTCCATTAAATGATAATTATGAAGCTGAATAATAGCACATGAAGAAATGCTAACTCTAGATTTTATGTGAAAATGTTTAGGCTATTCTGTGCCAAGGTATGCCTCAACCATACAAATCTAAAAGGACATTTTGAGTTAGGACGCAAAAAATGTGGTAAACCATTCATGACCAGGACCAGAGGAGAATGCATGGTTGGCTTCAGTTTCAGGTAGCTAAAGGAGTATACTGTTAGTTAAAAATCACCCATCAGTTATATACCTGTGTGAAAACCAGAATGCTGAATGGGAAAATGTGTATTTTGTCATTTTTGAGGACAGATGACAAAACAGGAGACGCTGACAAACTGAGCTGTTGTAGGTCATCTCAATCTAATTCAAAGTATCAATTTGAATTCTGAATTTTTACAGCAAAATTTGATGTTTTAGATGATACACTGAGTATAGCAACCTCAAGCCCACATAAGTTATTCTAGTCTGAAAATTTCCTTAAATGTGTCCAAAGTAAGCTTATTTACATCCAGATATTTGTCAATTAGGAAAGGCACATATTTACTTGGTAACTCAAAAGACACTGATATTCAAAAGTTCTTAATATTTTCAATAGCCACACTCCATTTTAGGCCATAATCACCTCAAAAATCATCTCTTACAGCTAGCCTTTCACACTCCCCATTTTATCCTCCTCCCCTCAAATTTATGCTGTGTGCTATTATCAGAAAAGACCCTCTAGAATTAGAATTATACTTTGATCATATAGTTTCTCATCACTATTCACAGAATGAATTCTAGGCTTGATTTCTTTGTTTACTGGTGAATCCGATTGGCCCAACTGAATCTAAGGGCCCACCTTTGTCCAAGCTTACGTCTGGCAGCTGAGATAAAAGTCACAAAGCTGTCAAATCCTGTTATTTCTTGAGATAAATTTCAAATGTTACCTACTTCGTACAATGCCCATCATATTACCCTTAAATTATGTCTGGACTCACTGAAAATAGATCTAATAGCCTCAATATTCTGCCCATGAATTTGTAAACTGATTTACATCCCCATAAGTTGTTCCCACTATTCTCATGTTTTAAGAGAGAAATGACTCTTCTGGCCAAAATCCATCTATCTAATGATGGCCCATAATGTCCAATAATCAACTCTGGCGCTTCACTCCATTTCCACTGCTTGCCATCTCATGTTTGTATCTTCAACCTTTCATTTTCTACTGGCTTCTTCCCATTGGCATCTAAATTTTTTTAAAACCAGTCTTCATTAGAGCTTCCTCTCGCTATCTCCCTATCTCCTCTCCAGTTATAGCCACTTACAGTTTTCTGTGTTAATTTTCTTCACTTCCTCTTCCTGCATTAACTCAATCATAAGATTCTCACTGCATTTCCCTGCCAAAACTAAAATCATTACAATAACCTTTGTGCTACCTTAAATGGAAATGTTTCAAGGCTTAACTGGCCTCTCATCAACAATTTACATGTGTTTTATCCCTTCTTAAAACACATTTCCTTTCTACCACACTCTCTTGCCTTTCCTCTTACTTTCTGACTAGCCTCATCAGTCTCCTTCTGTGTATATCTTTTTTTCTTTTTTTCTTTTTTCTCTGTGTATTTGGGGATCAGATCCTAGGCTCTTCCCATTTTACACTGAATAATCTATTCCACTCTCATGACTTCAGTTATTATTGGACTCCAAAATCTTTATCTCTAGCTCAGACCTCTTTCCCATATTAACCACAGTTGACCCTTTAACAACACAGGTTTAAACTGCATGGGTTCACTTACATGCAGATTTTTTTCCCATAAAGATATATACATTATTGTAAATGCATTTTCTCTTCCTTATGATTTTCTTAATAAAATTTTCTTTTCTCTAGCTTACTTTCTTATAATAATACTGTATATAATACCTATAAGAGAAAAATATGTGTCAATTGACTCTTCATGTTATCAGGAAGGCTTCAGGTCAACAGGATATTGGTAGTTAAGGTTTTGGGGAGTCAAAAGTTACATGCAGATTTCTAATGCACAGAGAATCAGTACCCCTAACCCCTGCATTGTCCAAGGGTCTACTGTGATTACTTCCTAAACATCTCTCTTGGACATACTACTTAAATTCCTTATGTCTAAAACTGTACACTCTGAATGTTCTCTTATATCTCAGTGAATGTTACTATCATCTATTATCTACATGTTCAAACTCAAACCTGGACATTACCCTTTATTCCTCTACTCTCTTAGACATACTGATACTATTTCAGAGACCTCTGTCAAATATATCTATTCTATTCTCCTCTATTACTGCCACTGTTAGGGTTTGAAACATTTTTTTCGTTAACTGATGTTGGCCCCACAATTTGGGCTATGCTTCCTTCAGTAGCTTTATTTTTTGCCATTTTTCCATCCATGCCCTGCCCTATTCTTCATTCCTTTTTTATGCCTCAGCTTTATGAATTAAATTACTCAGTGTTCTACTAGCCTGCTCTGTCACCCAACTTTTCCACATGCAGTTTGCTCTACCAGAAAAACTCCTCTCCTGACTGCTAATACTTTGGCAGCCTTCAAATCTCAGCCTGGATGTGACTTTGTAAGAGTCCTTGCTTAATTTTCTAAACATGGGTTCAACTTCTGTCCTATGTATTTCTATAAGCTATCTCTCTCCCCAGTCACAGCACTCCACCTTCTACTGTAATTGCCTATTCACTGTCCCCCATGAAAATGATAAACTCCATGAGAACACAAACCATGACTTTAACCATTCTATCCCTTTAATTAGTAGTAATATAATATCCCACTTAAAACATAAGATATACTCTTTGTTGAGTACATACATACAAGTCTTGTTTTCTTATTTAGATGGAAAGGGAACTTTCTGAACTTCCTATGGTGTCTAAGAGCATATTGTAGGCATTCATTAAGTATTTACTGAACTAAGAATAGGACAGAATTGCACTTCTTTGCTTTCCATGTCTACAATTGATATATAGCAATACAAATGTAGTGAAGTATAAATTCTAAAATTCCTATGTGTTAAACTTTTATCTGGACAGTAATTTTGAAATGTATAAAAACAAGACACTTATGGTAGAAACAAAACTTTTCATCAATAGAAATATTCCATAATTCATTATATACATTGCCTTATGAATTTTCCTAGAGAACTCCTTGTTGTTAATTAAGACTCTCTCAAATCTCCAATCACTAATTATTCTATGAAGAAGAAAAACATATAAAACTAATAATGAATTTGTGTCATTTCCAAAAAGGCATTAAGAAGTATGGAATACCAAGAATAATGAGAAAAAAAATAACACCTTAAGAAACATTTTAAAATCAGATAAATATAACAAATATTGCTATAAATACAACTCTGTAAAAATAATGTCCTTGTTGATTAAAAAAAAAAGAATGTTAAAAAATAAAGAAGGAAAGTTATCAGTAGAAGATAAATAAAATTTTAAGCAGAACAAGAAATCGTACCAGTAATTTTAAAAATGAGAAAAGGTGAAAAACAACTCTTAACATATGATACTAAAATTTTTAAAATTTAACAGAAGAATTTTGAGATTAATTTGGAAAGTAATATTTAGGCATCTTCCATCTTATTTTTCTTGGGTGATCTCATATTTACTGAGATAATCATTAAAATAAACTTTATGTTTATAACTTAGGAAGATACAATGGTTAAGAAGCTAAAAGTACAAAATACGGTTCTGTTGTAAAATGAGTTAATGCAAACTGTCTTTGGTAAACTCTAACGACATGAAATGAGAATGATATAAAGAATTAAGAATGAAACACTGCACTTTATACTGCATTCACGACAGTCTTTTAAAAATATGTGTGTATGGTTTTAGGTGAATTGTAAGTTTTTTTAAAAAATCACTATCAGGCTTCTTCCCTCTTTTCCTGACATACTATTTGTTATGTTGTTTTTAGTTATCCTGAGGACAAGAAACAAAGGACATTATTTTTAGATTTGATTCATCTTTCATAATGGAGACTCTAATTTGCCCAATAATAAAGCTTTAATCATTGCATGTTGCAAAGTTAAAATTTTTATTTAATGCATGTTAAATATTATGGAATAGGTATTTTAAACTCATTCAATTAATCAAATTTTGGGGGTCATTATAATCATCTACTTATTAAAACTTGAGTTTAATTATTGCTTTTAATATCTTAATATAAGACTCGATAGTGGTTTTTTAGCTTTTAAAAACGTTTTAAAAAGGTGACAAAAATAAAGCCACCAATATCTCCATAAGCCCCTCAAAAAGGCCCCTAAAATATACAATGTAATAATGCAACCATTTGATAAAATTTCCTTAAATTTACAAATGTAACCTGGCACTCTTTCACATCCTGAACTGTCTAGCACCTATCAAGCAGAGATGGAAATGGCTACATTGGCAATTATGGTGCTCATAATCCTGCTTTGCTAGGTTCTAAGGGTAACAGTCTCCTCAAGGCACCAATGTCAGGCCTGCATAGTAAGTAAAGCACATAATTACTTACTAAAGTAATTTCCGTTTGCATTCTAAATTTAGCATTACCTTAAAATTACCTGCATATGACTTTCTCCCTTGCTAGGCTATAGATTATCTCTGGAAAGAAATCTCATCTTTATATCCATAGAATCTAGTTCAATGTCTACTATGAAAAAAACTATTCAACAAGTTTGCTTATTTACTGAAGAAAATATCTTGTTCTTTGACTCTATTTAAATATGCGGAGTCTTAAAATGGTTCCCGAATTAGTACCAAAGGGTGTAACAACTTAATGGTGAAAGTGCAACTGATATCCCATAATTATTATATATGTTACAGACCTCATCAATTTAGCAATGAGATAGTCTTTACTTCTTTCCACATGGTCTCAAAGTTATTAATTTATCAAGACAATAAATATATATTATCCTATAGTGTAGCAGTTAATTTTTAGATAGCTCCTTAGGCACATTTACCATTCAAACTGTTTTCTATATTTTATATTAGATCAAATACAAAAACAGATAATATAACTTGTAAATTAATGATTTGTTTAGAAGCTATGGCTCTACTAAATATATTTTAATTTGTTTAAAATCTTGGACTCATTAAGATGTAGGGAAGCGCACGGGTACATTTAGTAGAACCTAATTTCATTGAGTTTCATACTAGGTGCCAAGAAATTAGGTCGTCCAAATATTTTGGAAATAAATTGAAACTAAATCAGCTGTTCCTTTTCTACCCATTATCACATACTTTACTCAAGGCACCTACAATGAAACTTTAAAATTAAGTAGAGAAAAACTTACCTAGTTGGGATTTTGAATAATAGTTTGCCATTTGTCCACTGTTGCAAGACTGTCGTTTATGTCTTTTTGTTGACATTTCTGTGGTCTTCCATGGCGGTCTTTTTCTTTTGTTCAATTTGCTAAGAACGTCAGAACTATCAGGATTCTTGTCATAGTTAACACATTTATTTAATCTACTATTGTCAAGTTGGCCAGGAAATTTATCGGTTGAAGGACTATTTGTTTTAGCATTTTCTATTTCTTTAGATTGCTTTTTAAAAGAATTTTGCCTAGCAGAATGGGATCTTAACGTAAAGCGCTTTGATTCTTCTATGTGAGTCTGATGATTAGTTCCACTGCCAATAGATTCAGGAGAGTAAATGATTGTATTTAGCTTAAAAGTATTTCTGTGTTCAAGATAGTTGATCTTCCTCAAAAATATTCTACAATCTTTTAAGGTTTTTGACCTCCAATTATGTGGACATACATTTCCTAGTCTTGATCCCTTTTCAAAACCTTTTTGGTTGTAATTTGTTCCATTCTCCTTTGCTTCTGTCTTAAAATTATTCTCTAAATTAGCATGTGTTTTCAAGTCAGACATTGCCACCTTCTGTTGCAAAGAGTCATCTCTGATCTCAGGTGGCAAAATAAACTGATTATCTATTGTGTTTTTTCCTTGGAGTGGGATGTCAGCATTTGTTCCCCCCTCAGTCTTTTTTAAAAATTGATTCTGGCAGAAAAATCTTAAGTTCCTTCTTTTAGAGATCCAATCAACTGTTCCATAGTTGTGCGGCTTTCCCTCTCTTTTCCACCTTTTGTGCTGCAACCTCTTAAACTCAGTTCTTTTTAATCTAGCTAATGTTAAATTACTTCTCACATTTAACAGTGGAGAGCTAACTATTTTATGTAGTATATGCAACTTCCCTGCTGATTTTGAAGGAGAAGACAGTGCAAATTTTTTAAGGTGCTTTCTGAAGGGGCTAGTATTAAAATGAGAATATTTGGTCCCTAATTTAATTCCTCTGGTATTTATTACTTCCAAAGGGTTTCGAGCATTTGCTTTTCTAACTAGTGAAAGAGACTGTGTTTCTGTTGTTTGCATAAACCAGATACAGAGTTCATTCAAATCATACTTTTTCCGAAAAAGCATTTTTACAGGTGAAACTTCAAGTTCTAAAAGACAGGTTTCCAAAGGGTTTGCTATTTTGAAATTATCACTTTCAATGCGTTCTCTTTTTTTATGAACACAGTTTTCAGCTTCATCTCCACTCACTTGCACCCAAGCATTTGTTATTTGCTCAAATCTATTGTTTAATTCCTCTAATAAGGAATCATTTGAAGTAGAAGCAGCCCACCACCTGAGCAAAGGGTTTGATGAAATTATAGGGTCCAAGGATACTTCAGAAATGGGTATTAATTTGTTATCTTCCAAACACATTTTTGCATTCTTTGAATTTCTAAGTCCAGGGGTACCTTTTGAAGCTATTTTTATCCTTGACTGCCTATGTTTTTCCTTCTCACTTTTACCTTTCTGCAAATGGAGTTTATATGATTTACGGAGCAGAGTATTTCTATAAATAAGTGAGCTGGAAGATGCTAATGGATGTACGAGATGGAGAGATGGCTTTCTATCCCTAATAGAATGTCTCAAAGGTATAGCAGCAACCATACTTTTTGATCCATTCTTAAATATGTCAGCTTCAGTGTGCCTTGTGTCCATCTTATTGCATTGGTGATCATACTTTTCTTCAGCCAGATTTTTCTCTAATATATTTTCTTGTTCTAAAGGAGGCAAACAGCTGCTAATACTTACTTCTCTCTCCTGAGGTGAAACTCTATTAATAGTCACAGATATGCCAGAGATTTTCACTTTTGCAGGTCTACCAGGCTTCCTAATTACTGCAAAAGGCTTCTGATTTGGTCGGATAATGTTCTTGGAAGGTTGAGGTATCACAGACTTGTTCTTGATGGGCCTAATATATTCAAAGCCAGACCCCAAGATCTCACTTTCGGTAGTCAAAGTTGAAATAGCACTTCTTTCACCTGAGTCAATTTTGTATTCTCTAATATTTCTGAGACTATTACATTCAGTTGGAAAATCAGCATTATTGCTGAAAGATATAACATTGCTTATGTTTACAGTTCCTTCAGAAACATGCCTTTTAGTTCTTCTTGATCTTCCATAAATAACAGTTACGGTAATACTCTTTTTATAGATACCTTCTTTCACTTCTGATAGGAGGGATTCTGGACTTTTCTTTCCAGTACTAGATGATTCATTTTGGCAAATGGTGATGTCTGTTTGATCGGTTTTAGGTTTTGGTGGTCTTCCAATTGGCCGCTTAATTTGTTTCACAACCTGGGGACCTATCTTTTTAGGTCTACCTGGTTTTCGTTTAAAAGATGAATCAGTATCATTGCTTGGATTTTCCTTAGGTTTGTCTTGTGGCTCATCACTGTTCACATCATCTATAAACATTGCAGGGGATTCTGTAGTTTCTTTTGCACAATTAAATTTGTTTAGTTCTCCCTGAAGAGTGTCACTACCATTACGATTAGAACTATAATTTTCAAAGTTAGCATCTGGGATATCCTCATTTGTTTCTGGTTGTTTTTCAATTGCATCATGACTTGGATATTTTTCAGAAGGAAGATCAGCATTTGACTTGGAAGTACCGATTGAAGTTAAAGTATATTTGACTCCTTCACTGCTTTTAACCTCAGATAAAAACATGAGTTTGATAGGACTAGAATAGCTGGAAAAAGAGCTTTCAATGGTCTCGTATTTTGTTGGCACATTTTGAACACTGGAAATCAAGCTACTCGTATCTAAAATAGATGAATTTTCTGGATTATCAAGTCTTTTGCTATTCAAATCTATTGTAGGTGTATGACTGCTTTTGATATTACTGGCTGCTACCACAGATTTTGATAAACTCTGCTCTTTGCATGTTGTTCTGCTTACAGTTAGTGTCATGTTTCTTCCTGCATCTTGATCTTTACCATGAATTTCTATCAATTTCTTGGATGTCTTACATCCTTCAGATAATGAGTGATTATTCCAAGACTTTTTGGCCATATTTATTGTATCTTCCAAACGTTCCACAACAACTTGTAAATTGGAATTCATTGCAATTTTGTTTAGATCTATATTGTGTGAGCTTTCAATTTGAGTATTTTTCACTGGATCTTTTTTTTTTGCAGAATCAGAAATTTTTTTGGCCTTAGGGGATTTTTTGAAAACATAATTATTTGTTACATATATAGAATACCATCCTGGGGGCACAATGTGTCGTTTAGTTCTGCTCAAAAGTCCAGGAACATCACTTTTCAAAGGAGTTTTGGTATTCTCCAGTTTTGGATTCTTCCTGTGATTTTGCAAAAGTCTTTTTCCAGCTGCAGATTTCTCCTGTAATTTTGTTATGCTCATTTTCCCAGGGGAAGTTGTCTTAAAGCTTTCTGAAAATGCATCAAAAGCTAAGTTAGTTTCTAAACTATGAAGAGGTAGTTGCAATGACTGCAATGCACAATCTGGTGAAAATGTTTCTGCATGATTATTTTCTTGCAAGCTTTTAGAATTTTGTAAAGACCCTTGGCAATGACAGAATTCCTCTCTGTCCATTGAAAATATCTCATCGTTGCGTGTCAACTTCCTTGAATTTTTTTCAGTGTATCTTTTTCTTGCAAAATTTTCATCAAGACTGGCAAGTTCTCTTTTTATTTGCAAAGACTGCCTTCTAAACGTGGGTGAATCAGGAGAGTTGTGCACTGAAAGTAAAGTTTCTTGACGCTTTCGAAATCTTGTCTGAATAATTTTATTCTCTACCTTTTTATCATGTTGACTCAGCAATTCCATAAAACTGTAATCACTGGCCTTGGCATTATGCAAGAGAGAAGCTATTAAATCTCTTAATTTTAAATCATTATCTGTATTACAATCACTGCTAGATAATTTTACAAGGTTTCCCATATCTGTAGTTTCTATTGATTTTAATTTTTCATTAATACGATCCATTAAATCTTGAAAAATTACAGTAGTTTCACCTTTTTCCTGATTTGTAGTACAATTACCACTGCCTTCCAGGAGCAAAGAATCCGAGTTGCTGAATTTTTTAGTTTTATGTATTTTACCTTCGTGATCAGTCTTGTCACTGTTTATTTCTGCTGGTGTGAGAGAGGGAGGCTGGTTAATGTTTATTTCAAGTCTGTTATTTTCTAAGGCTGAGAGCTCTGAGACAACATCTTTTAATTTTTCAAATCCTTCCGTCTGTACAGGTGATAATGGTGGGGGTGATGGACTTCGAGATCTACAAACATCCTTAAGACTGACTGAAACATCACATATGTCCCTTGATGAAAGAGGAGTGTGAAAGGTTGATTTTGTAGAGTGAATGTTTGGTAATAGTCCAGAATAGCACCTGTGAGAATTATAACTGTTTGCAATTCCTCTATTCACTACTGTCATAATGTGTTCAATAGTTATAGTTTGGCAAGATAAACAATGTAAATCTTTAATACAGACTGGCAGAGGCACAACACCAGGGCTTTGTCTTTCATTTTGTAAACACCCTCTTTCTGCCAGCCTATATTCACAACTACAGAATAGACCATGTAAATCATCTTCAATTAGGGGCTTTTGAGATTCTGAAGACACAGTATATGATGTATTACAATAGCAAAGAGAAGCAGCATTTTGCTCTTGGACTAGAAATTTCAACATGGCCAAAACTTGTTGCTGGTGATGTATGCACAAAGATTCCAAAACTTTGCTTAATGCTGATTTTCCTTTTTCCATTTTAGTAGCTTCCTCTGATTTTGCATCAACAGTTGAACTAAAAATAAAAATCAAACAAAAAATGAATTACAGCAAAAATACCAGTATTATAAGGAGTTATAATTTTAACAGAGTTTGAACAAAAGAAATTTTGGTATTGTGGGACTTCTAACTCCTATAGAGCTGCAACAATGACATCTTGATTATCATTCAGCAAAAATATAATGAAACACTGATGATAATTAATTTCCTATGGCAAGTATAATAGTCAAAAGAAAGCCCTAGTTTTAGGATACAAAATCTGATTAAAGATATGATTATATTTACAGATTGCTAATGTTTAGTGCTTTGGATGTACTAAGAATATTTAATGAAAGTGCTTCAGAAGGAGTTACATTTTTATAAAGTAGACATTTTAGAAGTTATTTTGATAATTATCAATCTGATTTAGTGCAAATAAGAAAAATAAGATGTAGGAGAAAACTTTAAAATATTTTTTCAAGGTAGTGAAATAAAATTATTAATAAAAGAAATCTTTGCATACTTACAAGGAAAATTAAAGAATTTGGATTTCATATAAATAACAGAGTATCTTTTCTAAGATTAAGCTGCAGGCATTTTAACCTAATAATAAAAAAAATTTAAGCTATTTAAAAATAAAATCTATTTTGAATTGATTTTAAATACTAAAGTAATTACATGAAGACTAAAGGCATTACTTACCTAATTATCTAATTTCAAATGCTGGAAAATGTCCCACTGAAGAAACTAATTTACATCTAATTTTAACTAAGACTCAGGATTACTTAGCAACCAAGGCAGAAGTCTACAAAAAAAAATTTTTTTTTTCAACGTTTTTTTTTTTTTCAATTTATTTTTGGGAGAGAGAGAGACAGAGCATGAACGGGGGAGGGGCAGAGAGAGAGGGAGACACAGAATCGGAAACAGGCTCCAGGCCCTGAGCCATCAGCCCAGAGCCCGATGCGGGGCTCGAACTCACGGACCGCGAGATCGTGACCTGGCTGAAGTCGGACGCTTAGCCGACTGCGCCACCCAGGCGCCCCAAAAAATTTTTAATCCAATACCAGCAGCAAGAAGAATAAAATGTATTAAAAGAATTCTGTTTCAGAAAAGTATCTTTTTAAATTAAACATATCACCAAACTCTGTACATGAAAATAGCCTCCCATTCATGATTTCTTATTTTTGCTATTATTGTTAGTAGTTCCTAGTTTGTAGGAATTTTATTTAGGGCTGGAATTAGGATATACTGATTATGAAGTGCTACAGAAGACTGTATTTTGTTTAAATAAAGGGTGATTATATTCATATATACTAAAATTAAAGGAATTTTAAAATGAAAAATGAAATTAAATTTATTTTGCTCATTAAAACTGGCTTGTATCACAGATAAAGATGCAATATTTCATCTACATTTAAAAAATATTATGTTATTTAAGAAGCAAAAACACCAAAGTAAATTTTGAACACTAGATCAGAAGTTTTCTAGAAAAATGATAACTCTACTAGATTCAACCAATATTTCACCAAAACTAACATGTGGTTTGACAAAAAGCAGTTTCTTGAGAAAAGTTTCGTGAGAAAAGATGTGACATTGATAATAAAATGTTTTAAGTCCACAGACATGACCCCAATATCCTTTCCTTTCTGGAAAAAAAAATATGTATATATATATATGTGTGTGTGTATATATATATATATATTTGTAAATTTTATTACGTTTGGGAGTAAATGATGGAACTGATTCTCAAGATTCACTATTAGGTAATTCAAAAAATATATGGAGAACAAGGACATTAGGAAATGTTAACTATCAAATATGAAGATATGTGATATTATTCTCTTTTCCAGCAAAGTAAAAATTGTAATTTTCATATAAGCAAAAGAAAACCCAAAAACGTTCTGATAGATGCACTTCAACAGTTTCTTTAAAGTTATGCTATGGGCTATTAAACATACCTGTTACTAAATAATTAAAGAGATTTTATGTTTCTTAGAAAAATACATTGCACCATATTTTAAAGATTAATATGCTTTCATAACACTTCCTCAATGCTTAAATGTTTTATCTGTTAGTAAGTCAAGTATAGAAGTAGAAATAATTAAAACTAATGACGTGTTAACTATTCTGAAAACCACAAGATTTTTACATCTCTTCTGAGATTTCAAGAAAGTCTAAAATTTAAAAAGATTTCTTATTCAGTTTATTACTTTTATTTTTATTTTTTCAGTTTATTACTTCCAATAATGGAAATTCCAAAATACCACAGTGGTCAGTAATTTCCATCTAATGGTATATGAAGAATAACTTCATAAAGTTACTAACTGGATATTCAAGTATTAGATTATATCTGATACACACATATCAGATATTAGAGAACTAAATTCTCAAACTATAAAATTCCATAATACTTTTATTTGGCTCCAAATTTTTTCATCTTTCTTGCAGTTTAGAGACTCAAAGAACAATCTAATATGAGTAAATAATAGTTGAATACACATAAATCTCCAAACTAGACTCTATTCTCAAGTGATTATATGTAAAGGTACCATAATCATATCTTTCACAGCTCCCTTGTTTTTAATGTTAAAATTTTTTCTAAACTTTTCCTGTTAGATTTACAAACCAAAACACCCTGCCCATTTTTTGTATGTTACTATCAGTTTTGCCCATTGCAAATTTTGTTGTTGAAATAGTTCTTTGGAGAAAGTCAATTTCTCACATTAATAAAAATAAAATTCATTCCTATAGTGAATCAAAAAAGTCAGTGTAGTCAGTTTTTTTCTTTTCTTTCTTTTCTTTTCTTTTACTGAATGAGTAAATCAATCACACACCAACAGTGTTGTAAATTTAAGTGCAAAAGCATTGAAGTGCTTTACTACAAATTACAACCTAGAAACACGTTAACTGAACAATTAAGATTCATACAATCAGATTTAGATATATAACAACACAAAGTAGGAACAGAATTACAGTACATTTACAACACAAGACAGATACATGAATTCATTAGAAAATATTGTAATAAATAATTCATGAATTATAGTGCAATTGATTTATGCATAAATATAACTAATTGCCTAACAATCAGTTTATATTAACAAAATCTGTCAAAATCAAGGCAGCCACAGAGTTTTACTAAATTACTGCGACAATGGAAATACTGCAATTAAAAAACAAATACAAGTATTTGTACTGTAAACAACTAAAAAAATCAGTCTCACTAAAGTTAGTATACAATTTAATATAAAATTGTCGTTAGCTACCAGAAATGGTTTAAACAACTTTACTGAGCAGTAGTTTTCTAAAAACAGAGGCACTGTTTTTTCTTTTCCTTCTTTTTTTTTTTTTTTAAATATAAAATACTTGAGGAACATTCAAATAAGTAGAAAGCATATAAGGGTTGCTTTCACCTTCATTAAAAGTCTGCTGAAACTGGATTTTTCATAAAACTGTCAATTAATAAGTAGTAACTGGTAACTAAATTTATAAAGTACTTTGAAAGTTTAACATAAAGAACATCTTAATAGAATCATTGGGGAGAAGGGGAACCCATAAATTTCCCTGCCTTTCCTAGTTTGTATAATCAAAAGTTAACTCAATAATTAGAAACATTTTGTTTCTTTTAAAAGTTATGGGTTGATCATTACCTATAAACTATCAAAAAATATTTAATTTACTATTTCTGACCAAAAATAAATAATACAAATACTAAATGCTGCAAATTAACTATAATATTACCTATAAAACTACTGATCACTGTGAAGTCAATAGCAAAATGATCCCTGATTTTATGAATCCTGTAAAGTTTTTGGTCAGGTCATCTTTTAAATGATATAAAAGTGTTCTGTAAGTATCCCTTTTCTATAAACTTCTCAATCAATTTATTAATGTAAATATAGTGTGAGGAATAAAAAAGCTCAATATAAATATTATGTAATGCATTCAGGCCCCCAAATTTTGCAAGTAAAATTCTGTATAAAGAGGTCAATAAAATTGTGTTGAAACATTTACTTTATCTTTTAACTGTGTTTTTCAATGGGGGGGGGGAGGGGAAATATATTAAATAATCCAAGTTCTGGCCCTCACAAAATATGGCTTAATTCTTTAAAAAGAAAGATGACCCTGACATCTGCTGTTTTGCAATCCGTTATGTATACTTACTTGGAAAAAAACAAAAACAAAAACAGAGCAAGAGGATTCATACCCTAGTATGCAGGTAACATTAAGCTGAAGAGGGTTCAGTGTAGCTCTAAGAGACCAAATAACTACTTGGTTGTGTAGCTTCCCACTCTTCAGTTTCTTTAAACATATGTAAGCAGTTTTTAAATGTAATAGCTGAAAATCTCTTTAGTATTACATGTATATGAGATTATTAGTTACACACAAACACAAGTGTAAAAACACAAGTATTTGACAAGGTGCACTTATTTTTTAAATTCAGCTTTAAGTATTCCTTTTGGACTTAGGAAAATTGGCTTAGAAAAATGATCAGAACCTGAATTTTAACAGAGAAAGGGGCACTCGGAGAATTCTGAATATATGAAGCAAATCCCCATTCTTTATATGGAGGCACATGCTTTATAACATTTTACCACTGCATACTCCATAAATCCAACATGGATACTCTGAACCACATTTTAAAACTGCTATATAAAAATTATTGGTCTCTCTTATGAGTCTGTAAAAGTTAAAATGCACTGCCCAGCTTCTAACTACCCAATTAGTAGAGTTTACATTACTGAAAGTTCAAAACAGCTTCAGTGTTAAATATCTGTAAATCTATTCAAGACCCTGAACAAACTGCAAATTTGGTTATTAGCAAAATGATAATGTATCGCCCACCAAAATGAAATCTGTAATTCATTTTGATAAACTGAAAATGTTTTGAAATGTCACAGCAGCAAATATATTAAAGTTACACTGAGGTTTTTCAATAGTAGGAGTGTGTCACAATCCTTAAAATTTAAAGTAGTCATAACATCAACTAACCAGCACATTTAAACCAAAATTATCATTCTCAAGCTTTTTCTGTGCACATTATAAACATGCTCTAAGTTGCATTCCAACTTTCTTTTCTAACCTTACACATTAGCTTATTTTTCAAATGAAAAACAAAATTAAATTATTTTAATAATTAAATTTAAATTACTTTTTGTTCTTAGTATTCCATCTTATATTAAAGGATTCTATAGCTGCTGGGGTTAACTATGTGTCAGTTTTCTTAAAAAGTATATACCTTATAAACCCCAACTTCCTGCAAATCAACTATTAAATGATAAATATTAAATTTCATTATACATATCATTTAAGGTTTTCTTTTCTATTCCTGGTGGATGCACTTGAGTGCATTTCATATTTCATAGAATACACTGTAGTGTAATACTGTATATATTAATTTTTCTTAGTATGGAGATAGCTGTCTATTTAAACTCTGATTGGTTGTCTGATATACTTACAATAGCCGTAAGTATATTATGTAAAAATGTTTACGAACTATTAATATCTTATTTCCATTATAAGATGGTTCAACTGAATGGCTGGAGTGGTCTTTCACCAATAAAAATGTTTCACTCGACAATTACTTGTTTTCCCACAACGCTTTATGCTATTGACTACTAAAGAAAACCTGAATCTTTCCACCTATTTATACAAGGATTAAATACAAACTATCAGAATTAAGTAAGCAACTATATAATTCTGTCCACAGTGAAAACCCTGAATAAAACTTTTTTTCAAAAGGCATGTAAGTGGTTTTTGAACTGTAAAATTTCATGTCTCCTGTCAGAGTGAGCATCTGTAATTCCCACATGTGTGTATACAGACACACAAATACACACCTGTGCACATACTCACACGCAAACACACACACACACACACACACACACACACACACACACACACACACAAACATCTTCCTAACAAGTAATCTACACAGGCTTGCTGTTTTTGCAGCTGCCAGTCCCTGAATCTGTCATATTATATAACCCAGTGTCTGGTAATCGGAGTTTCTTCTTCGGAGGAGTCTTCAGTGTTCCAGATCTTTCTTTTACCTTGTATTCTAAAGTGCTGTGAGGTACCCCATAAATTCCTTGTGCTTTGGAAACACTCATCTTTCCGCTCATTACCATTGCAATAGCCTCTTCCATTATTTCATGATCATATTGGCGATAACGGCCACGTTTTTTCCTGGGCTGCTTATTATCTTTTCGATCCAATCCATCTTCAGTATTTTCAGAGGTTCCATCAACTGTTCCATTTTTAGAATTAAGACACAAAGGAGAGAGGTCCCCATGTAGAAAATAAGAGTCAACACTTGAGTGAGTTACAGGCCCAGAACATTCTACTTTGTTCTGTTTAGGGAGTATATTTTTCAGTTTTTGGAGAGCTGATCCTTCTAGGACTGGAGGAGAGGTTTTGGAAACTTGATACATAACATCCAGCAGACCAGGACCATCAGGTTGTGGTTTTGAAACAGAACTTACTCGGAGCTGAGGAATTTTTAACTGTACAGTAGGATGTGAAGTTTCATATTGTAGACTTTCATTTTTTTCTTTAAATTGAGTAACCATTTTCTGTAGAGTTAACTGATGGAGGTAACTGGAAGCTGTTGGGAATTTTAATTCTGAGGTTTCAAGTAGATTGAGTTTACTTTTTTCTGTGCGCTCTGCTTGAGCTCTTGCCCACAAGGCTACCTTTTGCAGCACTGCACAAGTTTCTTTACTGTCTTTATATGAGTAACTATCATTGAAATCTCGAGTTTTGTTTTTAAAAGATGCAGGCTTCCCTGCTGGTAAGGCTTCTAAGTGGAGAAGTAAAGTTTTTTGAGGTATGCCATAAAGTATGCCTGCTTTATTTATGTCCAGTGCTCCAGACTGAATGTCTTTCAAAGCTTTTGAGAGCAAACCATCTGCAAACTCAGCACTTCTTTCCACATAGTCCTCTCTGTTTCTGTGTAGTCTCCTGGATGGATGGAATGAAACGATGGTAAACTGATGCATGAGAGACTCTCACACAGCTATGGAAGGGAAGGGTCCACTCCTTTATTATACTCCTTGCTTAGGTAACATCACTGCTTATGACTCTTTTTAAGTCTGTGAGATGTAGTAGTTACTCCTTATCAAAGCAAACGCTACAGTCCTGGTAGGACAATGTGTCAATCATACGGTGGCCTCAACAGGCAGACCTTCCAAGAACATAAAATCCTAACTCAGTATTTGTAAAAATATTCTCATGATGTTGCTATTCCTCTGACAGATGCTTGCAGAGCAATACTTATAATTTTTATTTGTACAATTAGAGTTCCATTATAAAAAATACCCAAATCCTAAAGGAGTTTTTGTTAGTAGAAACGTGACGTTACCGCTAAACAAGTAATAAAAGAGTCAACCCCTTTAAAGGAAATTTGTAGCAGCAAGAATATTTCCAAACACAAACATCCCATATCTCCACAAGACTAATGTTTCTCTAGACAAAAACTTAAAATTTGAAACAAGTAGACAAGGTATATTTGGGTAAAATAATTTGATACTATAAATGTTATCTCTATTTCAAACATATCATTGTAATTTTCAAAGTTTCTCAAACACAAGCTAACTGTACCTTAAGATTCAAAAGCTACTACAGTTGAAACAAATTACACTCTACATCGAAGATTTAAATGTGACAAAAAAGCTTCCTATGCAGTTTGTTAATGGGAAGATGCAAAAGTTACTAAATAAAAATCCAAAAATCCAACAGAACAGCATTTCACTGCTAATTATTTTCACTGCTAATTATTTAATTAATGAGAACTTTGAAAGCATGAAAGGACTTTTTGTGGTGCTTACTAGATATATATTATTATATATATTATATAAAGTTTGCCACCACACCTAAAGCACAGTGAAAAAAATGTAAACATTATAAACTAACTGTAAGAATTAGTAAGTACAGTACTTTTAAAATTTGTTGATTGTTTTAAAAAAATTAAATAGTGAAATCACATATTTCCCTTAAAATTGCCTCCTGAGTACTGAATTTTAAATTTTCTTTACTCGTCCTGCTTCTTGGTTTGTAGTCTATGGTTAAGTTGGTAGTTCATTTTAGTAACATGAACTAAAGTTTGGTGATTGTTCTGATAACTTTTCTTTAACAGAAAGAATAAAAAAGAAAGAGAAAGGACGAATGAAAGGTATGAGAGACACACACTTATGAGTGACAAAAATTCTGGAGGAAAGCTATATATGTCAATCTACTCAAAGTAGTATTAAGAGTTCTCTGTAGAGATAATTTTATATTAATATTAAATTATATTTCCTAGATATTGCTTACCCAGCCATTGAATTTTCAGAAGAAGGATCACATATGGATGACTCTTCAGATTTTATGCTGGTTTTCTTTGTAGAGAGATCTAACACTCCATCCCCTATAATTTTTGCAAGAGAAAAAACTTTATATTTGTGACAAATAGGTAATCCTTACATTTTAACATTTCATATTTTGCTGATCTACTAATTCATGACCTAAAAATTAACACCTGTATTTGACATGTGGCCATTACCAACTCATTTGGTGGTTTTAGCAACAGGACATGACTGGGAAGGCACTACATAGGAAAAAAGAACAGAGAAGGAGCTGGCATATTGTAAGTGATATGAAGAAACAAACAGGCTATGATACAAAATCTGTTTAAAAGCAACACTTGGTCACCTTTCCCACTGTTGTGCAGTGAACAGCCATTTAACTGCTTATCCATGATTTTTTTTTCTATTCAAGGCTGCCCAGATGATGCTCTGAGAAAGTAGGAATGATGTAAGTTGTACAAAACAGAGACCACAGAAAAAAATGATGATGAATAAGAGAACAATAACTAGCATTTACTAGGACTAGCAATATGTGGAACATATACTTTGGGTAGTAAACTGTGACTCTTATGTATAACCAATGTATTTTTAGAATTCAGTGTAAGATTTTACAGTTTTAAATAACTGAAACATAGAACAGTTGAATCACTGTCTATATAATATAGTGTTTATATCTGTTACTGAATGAAGACATAACCAGTAAGAATATGACATCTTAGGAAAAATAGCCTGTTAGAAAACAACTGCTTAAGTATTTATTAAAATGTAGTTTTTATTATTGTTATAATATTGAATTTCCATAAATAAAATCAATGATTCAGACATGTTAATCTGACAAATCTGAGGGTCAAAAAGAATAAACATAAACTATGAATTGGAAACACAGCACTCAATAATACTGTGAATATTTCTTTACTGATAGTTAAAAAACTGAAAAGTTATAAAGAATCATTATAAGAAAACATATGTCTAAAAAATATACTAAAAAATTCAAGCTGGTTTAAAAAAAATTCAACTGGGTTTTCTTGTTACCATATAAATTCATCTAACACTTAAGTGCCCTGCAAGATACAAATACAGGAAAATAAAACAGTCTCACTCATAACCTATTATTATTATGTATAATTCAATAATAATTTTATGGAGTGCTTACTATGTGCAAAGCACTATTTTAGGAATTTAGAAGCAGCAGTAACAAAGGTATAAAAATAAAAAGTACTAACTGTCATGGTACCAACCATGACCAACCAAACATGTTACCTGGGGGAGAGCTTCTATAAGGAACAGTTTGTACAAAGGTTGTGATACGGAATCATTTCTAAAATGTTTGTGGAATAGCAAAGAAGCCAGGGTGGCTGGAGTGGAGTAACCCAGGCTGAGTGAAATGAGATCAGAAGTGTAGGAAGGCAGGAGCGCCTGGGTGGCTCAGTCGGTTAAGAGGCTGACTTAGGCTCAAGTCATGATCTCGCTGTTTGTGAGTTTGAGCCCCACATCAGGCTTTGTGTGGACAGCTCAGAGCCTGGAGTCTGCTCCAGATTCTGTGTCTCCCTCTCTCTCTGCCCCTTCCCTGCTTGCACTCTGGCTCTCTCTCAAAAACAAATAACAGAAAGGAAGGAAGGAAGGAAGGAAGGAAGGAAGGAAGGAAGGAAGAAACAAAGAAACAAAGAAAGAAACAAAGAAAGAAAGAAATGTAGGAAGGCAGATCACATTAGGCCTTATAGGCCATAGTAAGAAATTTCTATTTTACTTTGAGAGAGACAGGAAAGGAGGATTGGAGTATTCTGAGCATAAGACTGACACAATTTTAATTTATGCTTTTAAAGGATCAATCTGCTGTGGTGAGAATGGACTGCAAGGGGCTAAGGGTGGAGGAGGGAAACCTGTTGGGAAAGTGGTATGATATTTCTCAACTCTGGGCTTACACACTTTGTTAGTTTCCTCTGTTAGAATACTCCTAATCCTCTCTTTCTATCCCCACACTCCTAATTCTCACCAAATCTTACTCTCAATCATTCAGGATGCAACTTGGATTTGGTTGGTTGTCATTGTTCTAGGTTCCTATACCTGCAACACTACATTATTTAGCACTTAGCATGCCATATTCTAGTTGCTTATATACTTACCACTGTTAGCCATGCAGACTCTAAGCTATGTGAAGGCAAAGACCATGTCTATTTTATTCAGCCAGATATCCCCACTGCCTAGAATAGTGCCTGGCACACAGTAAGTGTTCAGTAAATACTTGCTGAATAGAATTTGGAAGAATTAAAAGGGGAGACTGGACAAGTAAACACAGAATATGGTACACAGTACCTTAAAAAATTGTTAAGTGAAGCATCTCATCCCATGCTACCCATGAAGCTCAATTTTTTATGCTTTGTCTCCAACTCAACTCAACCCTCATACTTCCTGTGTCCCTAACTACTTGCAGTTCCTCAAACATGGTATGTGGTATCAGGTCTCTCAAACTGCAGTGTACGGTTCCCTCTGCCTAGAGTGTTCTACCTTTTCAACTTGTCAAACTCCTACTCATCTTTAAAGATCCACATGCTCCCAAGCAGAAGCAGATTTTTGTTTCCCTTGTGTCAACAGCATGCTATAACACTTATGACACTGTCTTGTAATAACTGACTTATAGATCTTTTTCTCCCACAAGACTGAATTCCTCAGGCCAGGGATCTATTTATTTGTATTTCATAAAGAATAGAGTGCTGTGACCTACTGAAAGAAGAAAGAGAGAAATGTCCTTTCCTTTACTATCTCATTTCTCTTCTTCAACAACTAAATTTTGCTAACTCAAGACCTTATAAAATCATTTTCTTCAAAAAATCATTACTACCTAATTTATATTCAAATTTAACACTGAATTCATTAGTCTTGATTCTGCTCCTGTTTTATGTAGTTTGTAGCACATAAAACATGCTCTCCGTAAGTCTGTTATTCCTAGTCAATGTTACAAAATGAATTAATGAAATTTCTCCAATTCTAAACTCTTCTAACAAAAGTAACACCAACAATAAATGAGTTAATTAAAAAAAAACACAAAAAACAAACAAACAAAAAACTCTTCTAGACTTTTGATATGGTTGATTTAAAGTTAATTATTCCACAGTCCAGAAATAAGAAAAGGAGATACAAGGAACTCCTCTTCCTCCTTTACATTAACTACGCAAATTAGGTTGTTGCTCCCTAGCTAGGGCAATAAAGGCATTCTTGTCCTTTTTGGACCACTCCTAGAGACAAGGACCTGGCTGGAGATAATTTTAAGGATGAACTAGACCTAAGTCCTGTTCCATCTTTAAGAGAGCTACCCAAATCAGGCTTATACTCCTGATTCTTCTTTTTTCAAAACTCTAAACAGTGACCAGAGTGAGAAATGCTTTAATTTTTTTCCCCCACAGCCTTGTCCCCATCCTAGGGTACCTATGTTAAATGTTTTGCTTTAAACGTATTTGAGAACTTAAGGAACACATTATAGTCTGTTATCCAGTTAAAATGGCAAATATACTCCTTCAGCATATTTCTGTCACACAGTAAAATCACTCAATCAATGAACACTTATGTAGTGAATACAGGATACATAAATATGTAAGTAAAGAATTTTTAGAAAAATTTTAGTTATCACAGAAAATCTCACTTTTTGTTAGCAGTGCCTTGGTCTATACTAAAGTATTTTGCTGATATCATGACTCCAGTAGCTCAAGAGCTAGAAAAACCATAAAGAGTCACCTCTAGGACTGTCCAAATTAGAAAAGCAAAAACAAGAAAAGGAGAGAGATAGCTTGGGAAGAATGACGGAAAATGAAAAGATCAGGAATGGGGGGTAAAGGGGATTTTCTTGCTCCTACTGCTGATTTAGATCTAGCTGTAGTGATAACATCTAGAAGAATCACTCCTTCAGAATGGAGTTAGCACACCATAACTAGATTGTCTTGTGTGTATATATTTCCAAAGTACTAATAATTAACTTGATGGATAAAAACTAAGTACTTATTATGTATGCTCTAGGGCAATCTAAACTAAGTAGAAGACAGACTGAAATTTATTTACCATTCAACTATTGGCAGGTACATAAGGCTGTTTTCGTTTTACACTATTACAAACTATATTGAAATGAAAATCCTTCTAAATGCTTTCTTGTGTTCATGTATAAGAATTTTTCTAAGTTATACACAAGAAGTATAAGTGCCGGACTTTACAGTTTGAACTTTAGTAGATATCACCAAATTTCTTTCCCACATCCTTGACAACACTTGGTGGTGTTGAGATTTTTAATTTTTGCTAATTTGGTAAGAAAGGCAAGTTGCAGGAGTAAATTAACAAGAGTGCATTTAGTATGCATTAATGCGAACTTCTAAAGCACACAAAAAGATTTTGCTTATTAATGTACGAATAGGTATTATCAGGGGTTGCTTCCAAAAGCAAACAAAAGGATGTGATAGTTGCTTAAGAGAAAGCATATCAGAAGCAAACATGATCAAATAACATATTATTAGTTCTGGGTGACAGGAACATGACTATTATACTGTATATTTCTATACAATTGAAAATTTCCTAATAATAAATACAGATTATTTCCATTTACTAGTTATAGACTGGGTCTGAACACTACAGTTTACTTATTGTCGATCAAACACTAATATGACATGTATAGAATTAAAGAGGGGCCAGTGTAATCTTTCAACAAGGTCAGGTAAACTGTATATATTATACTACAAGAGATAACTTTTTAAATGGACCAATGCTTGAAAAACTGAAATCATGACTAAACTGGGCAATTTCTTGATATAAACACTTTACTGGGTTAATTTTTTTAGAATTCACCTTCTTTTAAAATCAAGATTTGAATTTTCATTAACAGATTTTCAGTTCTGTATTTTCATGCAAATTCCTGATCAAGGATCTATTCAAAGGAGACAAATGCAACTGTTATAACATAGAATTGTATTTCACCACTCCAAGGACACCATTCTTTCCTATCTCTAATCTTATGGCCTTTGTCCATTCTTCAAAGTATGCTCTGTGTTCTCTGGGCCTGGCTAACTTCCACACATCATTCAGA